GGGAAAGAGAAGAGGAGTGCATTTCTTAGCGAGAGGTGAGCGCCGGCGACGAGTATTGCCACCGAGTCGGCTCAGTTGCATTTTGGCGTAGAGAGTCAATACTTTGAACGGCACGTTGCAGTCACTAGCTCTCAGCGGATGAATATGAGCTTAGGCTATATGTATTCGCTCATCACCTCAGCACATCGTTTGTACGATTACAGTAATGTGTAAGGTGTTGGATTTTTACTGCTAGTATAGCTCGGGATTCCGATCCCTCCCGAGGAACCCATGAATGTGATGCGCGAGGTAGCGTACTTCCGAGCACCCCCCTATCGGTATCTCATCCGGTATCGGACCTGGATACGCCCGGCAGGCGACAGCTAATTTGCTAGTACTTAACGTAGCTAGTATTGCCTACCGACCCTCTGTTGGCGGGCTTACGCAGACTCAGGTACAAAGCGGTTCACACCTAAATTTCAACTGTAATCACTAGACACCTTGCCGTCCGTTTCGAGGAGTTCTAGGCTCTGCTCGGAGTACCGGTATCAATTATGGCTTCACCTTTTAGGCTCTTCCGAAGTTCCGAAGTTCACACACCGACAACTTTCAAGGAGCTTGCTTAGTCGCGGCACTCCCGTTGGGTCAAAATTGACGGCGCAGTACCGGCAAGCAGTTCACGGGAAAGATGAGTACACTGACTTAACACATGGGAGCTGCGGGGCTGCACTGTGTCTCATCCTTACTCCAATCTTGGAGTCTTGAAAACTGGTATTGCTAGGCTCCCATGGCACCTGCTGCCGCAGCCAGATAGCTACATGTACTACTACCCTGAGCTAAATTAATTGTCGACCGTTCCTCATGCAGGCACCCGACAAACTTTTGACTCTTTCATCCAAAGGACTTTTCCTCCCAACAAAACACGAGACCACTCTCACAATTTTCAGAGCCAGCAAGAGCAAAAAGCAAAACGACAGTTCCAGCCAACCAACACCATCATGAGTACCGAGGACAGGACAAGAAACCAAAAGGAAAACGCCACCAAAAAGGAGGAAGAGCCCCACTCTTTACAGAGGCAAGTGGACCACTGAAGAAGATGCATACGCACACTGCCTCATTGCCGAGTTCAGGGCCGGGACGTTGGATATCCCCAGCGGAACCACCTTGCGAGGATTCCTTGCTAAGAAGCTTGAATGTGCCCCCAAGAGGTAAGTCATCACTGCCACATCGGGAGGGTTGGATTAGAGTGTCAAATGCAAAAGCCACGATACTGTTTGTCTTGCCACTTCAGCTGACACGTAGCTCGTTTTTCACGTTTTTCGCAGAGTGTCCAAGAAGTTCGAGAACAGTGGATACAACGGGAAGCAGCTTTATTGTCCCTCTGCCATTTACATCTCCAATTTCGAGTCCGAGTTCCGTAGGCGTAACCTTGAGTTTCTGCGCCAAAGGTTCATGCTCAGCACCAGCCCCGAGGTGTCATCAGTACCGCACTAGACATCCACAAGAATGCGGTTCAAGAAACACACCACTCAAGACCTTGATGTTCGAGAGCATATTTCTGGCTGGACACAGATTACGAGAACAGGCACACTGACGAGTTCTCTGTCTTACGCTCAGCTTTGGTGGACAGCGGAACGGCTCCAAAACCCGCACCAGCCGACCACTGGCTGAGACGCAAACATACGCGTTCAGCTTGCACTGAAGCGCAATGTGTATCAGGCAACAAGCTCGAATGTTCCTCCAGCTGGCATGCTTGGAAGCACTCCTCGTTTCGAAACGCTTGCTCGTGACCTTCATGTGGGATCTCCGATTCTTCCGATGGCTTCCCCCCTCCTCCCCCCCAATGGTCGGTGCCGATGCCTTTGTCGGTGCCAATAGACACGGTTTGTCCTCCACTGCCATGTGCGCCAAGAATGCAGCCCTCTCCATGAGGCAGCAGGCCTTGCGCGATTTGCCTCTGTTGCAGTCTCCTTCTGCTCATGCATGGAGCCGTCCGCTCCTGGAACCATCTGCATTGGTCAACAGGCCAGCTCGTCAAACCGAAGGTTCGCGCTTGCGAGAAGACTTCTTGTTGCTTCAGCTATCAAAGCAACACCCTTTTGCAACCCCCTCTGCAACTTCGGCTCACCTCAGGTTCTTGCAGGCCGAAGAGCGGAAACGTCTTGGTGTCATCAAAGCTGACCCTAGTGGTGACATCGGCGATATGGTTCGACCCGTCAAGCGAGTCAAGATGTATTGAGGCTGAGGCTGCTTTCCTTGACACCAACCATACATAGGTTGCCACGGCTGGAAAGGCTTCGTGTACGGTCCGAAGATACCTGAAAGGGCTGTGCGCGGCCAGGAGATCAATGCTGGGTAGAGAATATAACCACTATATAATTGAATACATGTTTCGAAGGGTCCTCGCCTGTCGCCTGCTCTTAGAGCAACGAGATACCGTTTCGCGATACACAGGGACCTGCCTGGCAGACGAGTCTTTCTGTGCATTCAACTTGTGCTCGGGTTCTATTCGAAGATACTAGTAGATTGACATAGCTGGATGGAGCGCGACTTCGCCGGAAACTGATGTGCTATCTAGTACAGCGTACCAGTAGTTATTATTGGCGGTGAGATGCAACTCAGGTGTAGAGTGGTACGCGTGAAACAATGGCCAATTATCACCAAAAGAAGTCCATTGGGAGCCAGCCGAGAGGCCAAGGCATAGCATCTCTGTCGGACTGGTTTGAGTTCACGAAGAGATCCTGCGCAGCCCCTGAGCCAGCCGAGCTTCTTCTATATTCAAAGCTCCGCCCACTCGGAACACCTACATATGAGTTCGCAGCAGCTTCCGAAAGCGCGGGTTCTGCGTCGGACAGGCGAGGACCTACGAGGAAAGTCAAAAGATACAACCCACTGCCAAAACGATATTCTTATTCTTGGTGCTAACCGTGGGATGAAGAAACTACGGGAGCTCGCACCGCTGATAAAAAGGACCAATGGCGGGGTACAGCCGTCACCCAGCGAAAGATCTGCAGGGCTGGAACACAAGAGCTCCAGGTGACTGTCTCCCTTTTTAGCCAATATAGACACTCTGATAACCTGGTGTCAAGTTATGGACCAGAGACTGCAGGATTCTTGGACTCCGACAAACTACCCAATACTCAAGACCAACAAAGGTCAATCCAAGTGCCACCAAAGGCCCAGACGAATTTCGCCTACGAACAACATGCTTCCCGAAGGGAGTGCCACGACGACGGCAACCAAGCAAAACATCCAGAGGATATTTGCTTCATTCAGTACACCTCTGGAAGCACTGGTCGACCCAAAGGAGTCATGATCAATCACCGGAATCTTGTGGAAAATTGCATGGCCATTGGCAATATGTCTAATGTTGATCCTTCAACTGTGGCGGCCCTGTGGGTCCCTCAATACCATGGTAGGATCATTTACTGCTGGCCACTATCTGCATTCGCGCGAACCCACCCTTGATTTTGCCCACCCGAAATGCTGCACTATAACTTGTGTCCTCTTCTTTGCGCACAAGACCTGCTTAGAAACAGTGGAGCCTTCTGCGGACTTGCTGTCACTGCTCCCAAACCAAAATTCCATCCTCACGCACATCACAATCGAGCGATCCATCTCTCAATTTGTCATAGTCGCATCCGAGGTCACGCTCGACGATTTGTGTTGAACTAGAAAAAATGCAGAGAGCGTACCAATCTCTTTTGGACTTGACATGCGCGTTTGGATGAATATAGATTCGCAGGTCCTATAGAGCTCCTCTACTTGTCGCCCGCTCAGAGCTATCTTGCGATGTCTTGTTGGCTCTCCTTAAACGTTGTGGAGGGGGCTATGCACCAGGATCGCGTTTGAGACAGCGCACTAGTGCGATCGGTCTTCGAAAGAGGTAGCCGTGTAGTCCGACGATGTTGTCTATTGGCGAATACAAAACTCCATGCGCTCCGTCAGGCCATGTCTGGTGTCGAGAGTTCAGCTGAGAGTCTCACAAATACGCCTATCTCTCACCTCATAAGCCAGAGCATGTTCGAAGCCAGAGCGCACGCTATCCGCCCTACTTGGCGCGCAAGTCTGTAGTGTTTCCTACAGGGTGAGCTGCCTCATTACACCGACGTCTGATGGGAGCTTCGGGCGGCGTTGTGGTGATTGAGCTAGACTCCCCATCTCACCTCAAGGCTCCGAGAAGTGTTGGCAAGAGGATTGGGGTGGAACGAAGATGGTGCGTTGAGGAGGGCGCCAGCACGCTGGTGGAGTCAACATCCAACTTGAAGGCCCGGCAGTCACAGCTCCTGCGTGTAGCAGCGCGTGACTACTATGCGGGGTCAGCCATGTAGCTGACCAACATCCAATCATGTTTTGTCCCGACACTGTGAGCCTCAGTCTGCTGCACTAACTGACTGAGGTACCTCCATTGCTCATACTTCGGAGGACGCTGGAGCAAATGGCCATTTCCGTGGGTGGGCAGCTTCTATTCGCTCCAAAAACGTGAGGAAGGAGTTCAATGAGATGTGTTACTCATACATTAGATGGACCACCAGAACTTCACTTAATCTGCACAAGATGTGCGAGTCCTCACAGCTACGCCAGTGATGATCTCTCTTTTGCTTGAGCTAAGTTATCGCGCAACGTACTGGCAGGACCACTGCCTTCCAGCATGGGGATGACAGTGTTGGTATTACTGTGGAGGGCCGCAAAGGTTTTGACAAGTCAGAAAATGAAGATTTGGCTGTCCAAATTGCCAACCATGTTTCTCAGGCACATGGGGTCTGATCGTGTTCTCTTGAGGTCTTTCAATTGCCCTAAGAGCATTCTCAAGCTTGGTGCTGAGACTCCTCAATGACCACGTCGGGCAAAACCTCAAGAGAAGCATAGGAGAAATGCGCATACAGGAGACGATATCCGCAATTACTCTGGGCGGACTCGAATCACCGAATCTACTCCTGTCCACACTTGCTTGACTTACTAACAAATTCTCTTAGGTCGACTAAAGCAGATCTGCATTATGAGTCATGGAAATACCCGATCATACGATTTCTAACTGATGAGGTAGCCTCTCTCTGTCCATCCGACACTGAAAAGCGTCGCTCACACGACCGCGATGCTCATTTAGTGCTCAACTACTTGATAGAACACCAAGAAGCAATGAGAATCCAATATCGCGAGGAGATAAGGAACTCCAAATCAGCACTATTCCTCCTGGCGGAAAACTCCTTTACTTGATCTCACATCTGCAAATTTGCGCGAAGGCGAAGTCATACTGTCATGGTTAGCTAAAAGAGAGAAGATTATAGTGGAAGACAGAAAGATCGAGACTATTGCTGAGCCCCCACATCCACAATGTCCAAATGGCCAAACTCCATACGCGCGCGATCTTCGGCAAAGCCATACTGATGGCATTGACAAAGTACGGCGGGAGCGAACACGAGGCCTCGCGCGCCATTGAGGGGGACGAGTGTTGAAGTGTCTCTCTTACGAATCTTCGCAACTGCGAGAGCGAGGCGAGAATATTGAAGATAAACGATTGGCTCCCAGATTCAATGAGAAGAGACGACAGATAGTCGGAAGGAGTGTATATACATGTGGTAGTCGCGATCTCTGAGAGTGGCGCTGTGACGAAAACCATCATAAAAAAACCTGATAAGTGTTTGGATTGGGACATGTCACCCGGCATGTTAGACTCAGTCTTTAGCGCCATGTGGAAGCGATGGATCTTATAGGGCGAACGGCATTGCGGACATGAACAACAGTCCGCATGAATCCTATGCGCGTAAGCATTGAGTTATCACTCGATATCCCTCAATCAGAACTCTACCATGGCGATGATGGGGAACTTATTCCGGCGTTATGTACACCACTATTTCGACTGTTGTTTGGGGATTTCGCCTCTAAAAAGACCCACACACGTCCCTGTTGCGTGCAGGATCTCCAAAAGCAGTCTAAGCTCTCATATGTAGGGGATACAGGAGTCCCGGTATCATCGAGTTCCCACCCTTCCAAACATGGAGGCGAGAACTTCCCCGTGCCAAATCAGCCGCTGTGTTGCAGAAATTGCAGAGAATTCAGCAATTGCGGGGGCTATAAATGAGATAAGCAAGAATTGGTGGCCCACTAGGCGTCCATCAAGACAAATTCTTGTCAACAACCCAAGCACACCTGGCCCATCTCATTGGATACTGGTATCACTTAGGTCTGGCAAAGGGTAGAATGGAGCAGGTCGCTTTTCTTTGACATTCCATAGGGCACCCTTGTCAGCCATCAGATACATCTCACCGTGCTGTTCCATGGTGTCAGGCCGTTCTTTTTGCGGCTTAATACAGGTCTGGAAGAACAATTTCGGGCCAACGCGATTAACCTCGGTTTCCAACATCTTGAGATCACAATTATGTCAATGTACCATTGACTATTGTCGAGATGATGTCAACCAAACCTCATGACAACAAAAGACTCCTTGGGTCGTAGGACATGGTGCCAAGATGCACAGGAGACCCCCGTCCAAAAAGGGATCAAACAAAAGTCTTCATTCTGTGAATGTTGCCATCCTTTCAATGTTCTCCAAATCAGTGACGATGAATCCAGTTTCCTCTTCGCGGAATCCATGACCACACGATTGGATTCTCCAACCGTATGGACCAAATTGGTCTTGTAGATTGGGGGGATAGTGCAGGATCCCATTGTACAAACAAGGAGCATGGCTCAATGCATTTCAGTTGCTCTTCACTAATAACGAGAGCTGGTATGAACTTGTTGAGTAAAGAGGGATCCAAGCGCACCTCATCACTGTATACGTCAATCATTCTGGAACGTTCATTCTTGAAGCGATTCTTGTGGGATGCCTGGTGGTTTGGATTGTCATCAAACCATTGCCTGGACAGTTCCGCCAATGCGGCCATTGCTTTGGCATCATCTGAAGCGTTCTTTGTAGGAGGGGGCTTACTAGCTGGAGGCTTTTTCGCTTGCCGCGATACCGAAGCCGTCATACCCATGTCTTTGCGGAGATGTGCTGAAGTCTTCCTGAAGCTCAGTGGCTTCACAAAGAACCTTTTGGATGCGCGGTATCCGCGTTGACGACGTTTGTTCCTGTTGGATGAATGCATCTCTTTGCTGCCAGATTCATGCGAAATAATCAAAGCAAAGTTATATCTGTTGTAGTGAAGGCGGAAGCGGACGTCGGATTAATTTTTAAATAAAGGAGGATTGCGCAGCTAGTGGGCTGAGTTGGGTTGTAGTAGTGAATGTGTAATCGAAACGGAGGGGCCGTACTTTGTGAACACTTCATTCCGATGGATGCAGGGCAATCCAACACTTTGTCCAAACCCCGCTCTGTCCTCGTCCAAGGATTGGTTGACGATTGGCTTTCTTACCGGCTTTGCCGAAATGATAAGGAAATATCCATGACTGAGAAACC